GCCTCCTGGTAAACTTCAGTGTCTAAAGGGGCCAGTGTAATTGAACCTCACGTTATTCATCTAATCCCGCCTATGTGGGTAAATGAGTTCAGAATGATTTACAGGGACCTTCTTCCTTCTGCACGGCCTCCCTTGGAAGTAAGCATGGCTTTCCCAGGAGCGGGGGAAGGGGAAGGACTCTCGGGAGCCCTCACTCTTCATTCGGGGACTCGGGGCTGCAGGTGCATGGGGTCCTCGCAGGGCCCCTTCTTTGGGTGACCCTGGGCCCGCTTCCCGGCACCAACACAGGCCAGCTCCTGGGGTTTGGCTCCGAGTGTGTTAGAATGAGGACGCCGCAGACGGCACACTCACCCCAGCCTGGTCACCTGATCTCCACCCGCACTAAGACAGCCACCGACCTGAGGTTGTTGGGGTGAAGTTGGTACAAATGAAGCAGAGGCTCGTTATGGGGGGCCTGGGGCTGCCGGGGCAGCTGGCGCCTTCTCCCAGGCAGCAGGAGGGCCCTGCCTGTGAGTGATGGGTAAACGGCGTCGCTCTCCGGGACTGTCATGGCACTTGGGCCAGCACACGTGCTGTAAGGGCTCGCTCGTCCTCATGTGCAGGTCACAGGTGGTGGGGAGGTGGCCCTGGGAGTGAGGGAGAGGAATGATGTGTGACTCGAGTCCTGGGCGCCGTGATGTCTGCTCCACAGGGTGCCTCTTTGCTCTTTGGGAAGCTTACCTGCCTCGGGTTCCTATGGCAACACTTCAATATCTCACAAGACACATAATAATACCGCTAATAAAGTTATGCTATAAAAGAATGCATGCTTATTATAGAAAATGTGCACAATATTAAGGGTATAAATAAGAATTCCCCCGAAATGCCACCCTAAGAGACAGTCAGTACATTCATTGGGTGCATTTTCTCCCAGTTTTTTTTTTTAATAACACAGTTTTTAAAAGTATCAAGAATGAACATTTGATCTTACAGCATAATGAATATTGAACTGTGCTATAGTTAAATGTGGCTGAACATTAATTTTTTAAATATATATTAAACATTAATATTTTACCTAGTTTATACACTTGTATACTATTTCCTCCTTTTAATCATTTAAAAATATTAATATACATTTTTGGAAAACGTTTCTTGATGAGGCAGAAATTGTTGGTTCAAAAATCCTGCATTTCCTTTATTTAGTGCATCTCCCATTTGGCTGTTTTGAATGATGCTGTGATGGGGCACCTCCTCCCCCCACCTCCCCCCCAGCAGCGATGCTCGAGGTCCTGAGATGGTGCGGCCAGCTCGCTCCACCAGCCACGGGCAGCGAGAAGCTTGGCATTTACTGTTGATCGTTTGGGAATCTCCTTGTTCTTTTCCTCGGGCTGAGGCTTCCTCCCGGCTTCTCTGCTGTGGGTCCTCTTTCCCGGATGGGCCGCCAGGGCCTTGGGGACGCAGCTCTTAGACAGTCACCTCACCTCTCCGTCAGCATTAGACAGGCTCCGCCCGCGAAGACGACCCCTGGTGGGAGAATAGCTCTCAAAGTCAATGAAGTCAGCCAAGCATATGGTGGAATAAGAGTGTACAATTGTATTTATCCGTCAAAATGGAAACAATAACCCTGAATTAGTAAAATACTGTGAGCGCTGGGAGGTGAGGGGTGGGGTCGGGGTGTCCCAGGCCCCTTGCTTCTCTCTGCTTCACCTGCAGGAACCTGGCTCACCTGGCTCACCGGGGCTCATGGAACTTTCCACGGGCCGACCACTCCCACCTCTAAATTCAGGATTAAACATCTCAACCCAGCAGGGGTGGGGACTGGGGTGCAAACCCCCCACTTCCCTGTCCCTGGGAGACCAATCTCAGGCCGGTTCCGGCATGTTCTCCAGGACCCTGCCAGGCCTCCTGTACCGTCCGTGGCTTCTCCTTCCCCGTGACAGTCTCCGTGAGCCCGGAATCACCTCCCAGGTGCACTGGCTGCACCCCAGCCCCTGTCTCGGGGCTGCTTCCCAGAAATTCAAAGGATGACACTGTCTCACTGTCAAGGACACACCAAGGGCAGAGCCTCCCCCTCCAGCCTTTGGGTGGTGTCCATCTCCCGCTGACTGTAACGGTCAGGAGCTCCCGCGCCAGAGACAGAAGACGCGGGCGAGCGTTGCAGGAAATTGGGTAAAGAGGGTAATGGTGTGAGTGCTAATTGCAAAGAACAGTGTTGTTAGCCTAAGCAGCAGACGGGAGGGAGGGCTGGAAGGGAGAGCCGAGGGTGGACAGGCGGCTCCTCAAGAACAGAATTGGCAGCATTGGGGCTCATGGGGGGCGGCCGTGGGGTGCTCAGGCCAAAGGGATGTTTATGCACCTTCTTCAGGGGCCACTGGGTCTCCTGTGTGGTTAAGCGACTGTCACATCCGCCTGCCCCCAGGGGCCTCGGTGCCCCTCAGGACGCGGCACCAGCTTCCCCACCTCCCTCCACCAGGTGAGAAAGGCCCTGCCCCTCCTGCCCAAGGCCTGTGGCCCATCCCCCCGAAACCGGGGAGACCGGAGTAGGCAAGAGGGAGAGAGCCCGTGGTCCGTGGGTCACCCACCAACACAGCGTGTGTGTGTGATCGTAAAATTTGCTAAAAAACATTAGCGTCCGAAGTAACTGGATTTTTGTTTGAGATGGAGATTGGCCCCTTACGGAGCCCTGGGCACCCCAGTGCCGTAGTCCGGAGCTGAGGCAGCAGCAGCTCTGCTGGGCCCCAATACAGTCAGGCAGGAGGCAATGAGGATGAGGAGGGCGGTGCGGACAGTCACCCAGATGCACACGGAGCCAGGACGGGGTTCCCAGCTGCTCAGAGGGGAGCCCCTGCCTCAGCCGTAACTGAGTGAGCCAGACAGCACTGACCCCCACCTTCCCCGCTCCGAGGCAGACAATTGATCCTGCGATTCAGAACTTGGCAGAGCCGTCCTTGGCCATCTTCCTGCCCGTCCTCCAGCCTTTAAGTCCCGGCCTCTTCTGGGATCCAGGGATTGACAGAGACTCAAAATAGCCTTTGGCTTTGAAGATCAAAGAAGCGTCTGCTGCCCGCAGGCGCCCTGCCTGCCGAGGTCTGGTCTAGAGACGGAGGGACTGTCGCCGGCATCGGGCGCTAAGGGACTTACGTGTTCTCACCTTTTAGCCGAGCTGAACTCTCAGACACTTTACTTAAACGGGATCCATTTTCCTCCAAAATGCAATCTCCCCAGCGGCCACAGCGGCCCTTTGCTCGGTGCTCAGACAGGCTCCGGTGATGCTGGAACTGAGGCGGAGCCGTCTCATCCTTTGTGCTCAAGACTCTGCATCCCCGCACCGCCCCCCGTGGCCTGCTGACCCCCGGGGGGCTTTGGTGAGGGCCACCTCGAACTCTGTCCTCTGGGTGGGGACAGCTCAGTGCTCAGCTGGTCAAGAGGCAGACAGTGGAGCTGTTTGTTCTGACAAAACACGTCGTTGGGGTTTCCAAACGAGACATTTTCACGAAGAGGCGTTGAAACAGCTGTAGAAGGAAGGGCCGGTCCCAGGGGCTGCAGACAGGGCATCAGCTTTGACCTTGAGCTGCAGCCTCCCTCCGCCTGCCCTCCCTCCAGCCGTAGCATCTGCAGGTGCAGATGGTGCCGCACAGGGACGCCATGCCAGCCAGCCACTACGGTGACCTCTGACCCTGCCCGATGCGGCCACTTTCTGGCGGTGGCATCTGTCGGGTGGGAAGTGGGCCCTGCCGCTCCTCCTGTGCCCGCGCTGTAGACGCAGCTCTGGTGTCTCTGCTGGAGAAACGGCAGGGGACAGACAGCCACTCGACATAGTGACGTCAGAGGACCTTTGCCGAGAGGCTGGCTGCTGCAGGGGTGAGGACACGCCGGCCAGTGCAGCCCACAGTGGGGAAGCCACATCCCACCACTGCCCGGGCAGAGAGCGACTCCAATCCCGGGTGAAATGAAGACCGTGCGTAAATGCGAGAGGCCAGCGGCTCTGTCCACCACGGTGACAACAGACGTGCTTCCGCCAAGACAGACGGCTTCCCTTCCACGGACAGCGCCGGCCACCCAGATGTTTCTGGAAGAACAGCTGCTGGTTGTCCAGAGCTGACACGACGAGTGGGGAACACGATTCCGGAAGGACATGGAGTCAGCCTCACAGTCAGGCTGCCCTGGGAGGCGGGACTTCACAGGGAGGGTGTGAACTGCCTGAAGGGTCCCATTGTTCAAGGACCAAACGCCGCAGAATCCAGGGAGCGCGAGGTGCGATGGGTAGAGATCAGTGTTGGAGATGAAGGGAAGTTCGGGAGAGAACAGCACTGGTCTGGGGGACCTGTGCGTGGGCAGAGTTCTAGAGGCCCCAAGACTGCACCCCTGGATGCACGATCCAGAACAGTGTGGGCGGGGCCTGTGGACAGGGTGGGGGTCACCAGGACAACATCACACTGTGAAGGGTGTTGTGGAGAAGAGGGTGCCTTACTATGGAGGGGAACCCCGGGGCTCCTTGGGGCTGAGAACAGCCCCAGGGGACGCTCAGCCTGCCCCATAGGGGGGACTTTCCATCCAACCTGTGGGGGCACAGGCCTGGGGGACTGGGCACTTATCAGAGGCGATCACGGGGCTGATTGTAATGAGTCATCGAGAGTCCCTGTTCCGGAACAGCTGTGCCCACCTGCAGGCAGCGAGGGCCCTGTGTCATGTGCATGCTGTCTGGCTCCCGCCTCCGTCCTGGGCCCCACGCCCTGGCCACCCTCTCTCGACTGCTCAGGTCCTGCAGGAGGTTAGCATGGCTGCCTGGAGATACAACGACGCCTGTTTTATCGCCATAAATTACAGTCGCTATCGACGTGGCTCATCTCAAATATTCACAGATTGTAGATTCGGTCAAAGGCAAGAATGATATACTGTTAATTTTTTTTAAAATGTATTTTATTATGCATCCACACCTCCGAAGAGTGTCAGCAAACTGGTGGAGTGAGTTATGTGACACCGAGTCCCTGGCAGGGCCCACAGGAGACAGGAGACTAAGAGTCACGTGGTTCATAGGTAGGAGCCTGGGCAGGAAGGGAGAACTAGGTGGACACTAAAGACCTCTGAGTGCAGGGTGGGCTTTGTGAGCAGTCCTGTGGAAGGATCTAGAGAATGTGGAGATGTGGACAATATGGAAATCTAGGTGCGGGGTACATGCCGGCTTTGCAATATGCTTGTGACCTCTCCGTAAACCTCAAACTATTGCCAAATAAAATAGTTTTAAAAAATAAATCCCACCTCAGAAAGGGTTAAGTGTGGATTCAAAATCAACTAAGCCCAGCCGGTATGGGTCAGCAGTTGAGCATCAGCCCAGGAACCGAGAGGTCACTGGTTCGGTCCCCAGTCAAGGCACATGCCCAGGTTGCAGGCTCGATCTCCAGTAGGGGGCGTGCAGGAGGCAGCCGATCGATGATGTTTCTCTCTTGTTGATGTTTCTATCTCTCTATCCCTCTGCCTTTCTCTCTCTCTAAAAATCAATAAAGGAAAAATAATTAAAAATCAACTAAAATGATGCTCCACTCAGACTATTTGCAGGGCGTGGCCTCGCCCTGGGCTGCGCACTGAAGTTTTACGGTGCCCTTTCTTCCTTCAAGCTGTGACAACCCAGTGTGTCACAGCTCCAAGGATGTACGGGCTTCAGGTCAGAGACACGTGGCCCCGAAAAATGTCCCAGCAAGAAATAGGGTCACGAGAGTAGACGTGAAACTTCCTAGCGCTCTCAGCAGGGACGTCTTAGAAGTTGGATGTGTCGAACACTTTTCGGCAGCCCTGCATCCCGCCCCGGCATCCTGAACGCTGTCCTCGGCCCGTGACCTTGTCAGCAGCTGCAGGCTCAGCACAGGTGCTAAAAACAACTCTGTTCCTTCCCCGGCAGGTGTCAGCGTTTTCTACGTGGGAGAAAGAATTGCATAAGGTCGTGTTTGATCCCCGCTACCTCCTG